TATTTATAAAATTGAAAAATATATTGCAACTCGTAAAAATTTTATGGAGCATCATGTTAATAAATGGAGTGATTTTCCAGTCGAATAAGTAACATTTTATGTTCTTTACCTTACTCTGATAATTTGTTGTATTTGTGATTGTGTTGTACATTTAGTTCTGTTTCCTTTTCATGTATTGTTAATTGTATAATAAAAAAAAAGGAGATTTGCGTATTTAGCAAAGCATGACAATGTGTGACCCGAATTACCAACAACACAATCCACTTCATAATATTAATTTATTTGACAGCATTCCTAGAATTTAGCTCACTGAAAAATACACTAATATTTTCCATGTGTTTCTCAACTACTAATATTACACATCGAGAAAATGGTGCTCGTTTCATTTGTGGATGAAAATATTTCAATATATATTTCTATAGAATTCTCTGTCTCATTCAGCTGTCACAAAAATAACACTATTAGAAGGGTGAGGCTTACAGCCTTACACATGGTTGTTGTTTTTACTTTTTACTCACCTCTTATTACCGACTAAAAGTAACTATAAATAGAATGACCTCATTTATTGAGGTCTACCGTTGCTTCGGTAAAATACAAGTTATACAATACAAGCAACGTTTGTCAATCTCCAAATTTAATTTATTTTATTTAGAATATTGAAGTTTAATTACACCTTACGCTTCGCCACTATGTGCTAGGGCCATTCCCTGCACTTCTATTGTGTTCTAACACTGCATTATATACAGTAAAATAGAACACTAGAGGGCGCACATATAAGTCAAGAACTTGACCTGATCGGCGCTCAGCACATAAACACAATGTATGTGCAACCAAAGCCGCATGGAGTAGCAAACAAAAATATGTCAATATATATTTCAATAGAATTCTCTGTCTCACTCAGCTGTCACTAAAATAACACTATTGAAATATATGGTGTTTACAGCTATATACATGGTTGTTGTTTTTACTTTTCACCTCACCTACTGAAAGAGACTATAAATAGAATGACCTCAAATATTAAAGTCTACCGTCGCTTCGGTACAATGCAAGTTATACAATGGAAAAATCTTCAAACTTGAGTAATTTACTTTCGAAAATTGACGTTTAATTGCACTTTGCGCTTCGCCACTATGTGCTAGGGTCATTCCCTGCACTACTATAGTGTTCTAACACTGCATTATATCTCAGACTACTAATTCAAGTAGTCTGAGAACATATTGGGTAAAAGAGTACTATAACCCAAGATGGCGAACATACATGGAGTAAAGAACTCGACCTAGGCGATCGTCACTTAAACACAATGTATGTGAACGTACGTGAAATCATTTCACAGAGATTACTTGTCTGATTTCAACCTCTATCGTTACCGGATTAATTGTGATCGACAGGCAGAACTTTTGCTCCTAAATGGCTACTTTAGAATGTAATATGGAACTATGTTTGTAATCGACACACATGCACTGTAAACATACAATGATGCTAATTTTGTTTCGTCATCCCATCGATTTTGATCATTATTATCGTTTAAACCAAAATATCTGAACTGACCTCACCGATACAGTTATTTGTAAGTTTATGCACCGATATAGCTGGTTTTCGCTCGTATGTTATTGTTGTTGTTGTATGTGTGTAGGTTTACTGTCCTAGCACTTTAATGGTCACAAATTATTGTATGTAACTATTGTTTTTAAATGACACTGAATTATTGACAACAGTTTTCAATAATACGAAACCATTAAAACAGATTACCAATATGTCTCTAAACGAATCTCTTAACATATACGCCATGTATACAAATTATATGAAACATTTGGGATCAAACGCGCCCACTTACAATACAAATCGTTGATATCAGAGTTATAAATCAGTATTCAAACAATGGTAGTGTTTTCTAAATGACAATTTATGAAATAGATAAATGAATCAGATAAATATATCAAATGCCTCACAAAATACTGGACTATAGTCATTAAATAAATCAATGTGTAATTACGGTATATATATATATATATATATATATATATATATATATATATATATATATATATATATATATATATATATATATATATAGTTTAACTGGGCGCCTATTTCAATTGCACACTGTATTTACATTTGTTGTATAATTAGAATTATAACTACGTCGAATACATGTTAATTGAAGCAGCGCATGTTTTGGCCTCACAATTGAAATATAACTTTGTTTATTTTAGGGAATGAATTACTACATTATCCCACGCTGCACCATGATGCCGTCCGAAGTACAAAGGGACATCACCCAAATAATGTTCAACACCACACAACACGCGTAAGTGGCATCAAATATGCTACAATGTTCAGCGAAAATTTTTTGTAGTTGCCTAACTAATTTATTAGTCGAAACAAATATCATTCCATATATTCAAAATGCCATTGTATTGACACAGTGACATCGTTATTATGTATCTACTTTAGATGGAATGGCACGAACCAGCTGTAAAACCTAATGTTATGGGAATGACCTCATTGCGACAAGCGCTTAACCAGTTGCCGAATAGTTATCAATTGGATCTTGACGATTTGTTGAATATCCTGACAACAGACCAGATCATAGGGTTATTGATGAACTATACAACTAAAATAACATACCGATGTAGGACGGAGAGGCGATTTGGAAACCCTGTACATGAAGATGGTGGTTGGAATGTTTGCATGGATGTTGATATTAATCCAAGTGACTGTATTGTATATTCTTTCGGGTAAATATATTGTTGAAAGTCACATTTTTCATTATGTTTTGCTATCCTGGGCAATTGTAGGTTGCATATCTGATCGTCCAGTCCAGGTACATACAGTAGATACAGTATAAATAAATCTCAATGGCTGCTACGTGCCGTTTTACTGGTTATTTTTTGTGATGATAGAATTTCATTTACGGTTGTGCAAATACAATTATTATACATTCCCTAACACATGTGACTTTGGAAATTGACAACTAGTCGTGCATTAGATTTCCAAGATTGAATAATCCTTCTAATTTGTTCGCTTTCGTAACATTCGAATTGTCTTTTAGAAACAGGAAGTGCAATATCGTTGAACTGATTTTGTTTTTAAAACATTTTATGAGAGAAGGTTAAATATGTATTTACGAAGGAAGCGAATAATTATAAACACATTTAATGATGAATGCATACACCTACTTGCTCCCTGAATATATAATACTAGTAATACAATTTATGATGCATATTACAGTATTGCTAACGACTGGTCATTTGATGAGGACATGGCTAATTATGGATGCAACGTGTACAGTTTCGATCCTAGGTGAGCATTATAAATGATTTCAATCCGTCACACATGCCTAAAACATAGTGTACCTACCATGCCAACATAACCAAATCAATTTACAGATATCGAAAATCAGCCGAGTTCCTACGAGCAGTAATTACTGCATTCCTATAGTCATTCCCATGTGTTTATTGTTTCTCAAGATCCAGATGCACGTCCAAAATAGCTGCGGCTTATTACTCATCACAGTTGGCGACACCCACCATGCCAGCTCTTGTTAGTAACCTATTGTCGCCATAGTTAACATATTTACTCTATGAAAAACAACACAACCCATACTTTTCATTTAGTTTATATGATTAACATAATACTAGATCAATGTTACCTCACATATTGTTTGTGTATAGCACAGTCATCTAAACGCTAATATATACGTTGAGACTTACTTATTATATGTGTGGTGGTTGTTATAGCATTGGTCTGGATGATCATAAACACGCGGATCGCGTCTGGTTCTATAATATGGGGTTATATGACGACAATATAGATGATCTTGTAGCTAGCACAAGGCATTGGAAAGTTAGAACTTTATCGTGGATCAGAAAAATGTTACACCATGAAAACGTAAGTATTCAAGTTATTAGAAACCTGAATTGTAATTGCATATTACAGAGTATGACGTAATGGGAGAGCGTACAAATCTGTTGCTGGGTTAGTACGGCTTGTTAGCTTGTGTATATTTCCGATAGCGTCGTTTATGTGTGGGCTTCGAATACAAACACAATCACAATGGTACTGAACGTTACCTTGCATAAAACTTTAACTGCAACTGTGATGGCAATTGCGTTGTGAAATATGGAAAAATAGCCCAAAGCATGCGCATATATATGCTAATAACTTATGAATATGACGTAGACATATTTCATGAATATTATTTTAAAATGCAGTTATTAATAGAAAGCATTTATTTTGAACCGCCGAAATCATGTATATTTGGTCTTGACCGCCCCCCACTCTGTTGTTATTTGAAGCTTGTACATGTTTTCTACCCGTCTAAACTGGTCACGTAATTGAACAAGTGTCTGCACTTTTTACACTGTTCGCCGGCATGAGCGTTGGCAAGCCGAATAGGTTTTGATTGTATACAGAGCCACCATTGGCCTCTCCCGTCTCCATGCGTCGATTATTTACTATATATTGAAAGAATGCATACATATTAATTTTGGTACTTAGATGCATTTATACTTACAAGAGCAACACAACATATTTGAGTAGTTTACAGCGTTTAATTAGTTTAGTCAGGTATAACGATAACAACGATAAACGTTTACAGATATACTTGTCAGATATATTGCAAATATAATTCATATGATAAAATATGACTGTACCAGTATTTAATTTGTGTAAATTTGCACATATTAAATAAGTTATACACTGACACTAGAAAAAGTATTCAATATAAATATTGAGACTTACTGCATGAATAAAATTATTGAGTTTGTATTTTTCACACAGAAAAATATCGATGTTCTCAAATTTGACATCGAAACAACAGAACACCGCATATTCCATCAACTCATCAGTAGTGGTATTCTTAGAGACATCAAATTAGTGGCTTTTGAACTCCATCTTTCGCCAGTTAACATATATGAACATAAAGAAGATACGTTACATGTTTACCGAGCACTAAAAGAGGCATTTGAATTGAATGGATTCAAACTGTGGGATTGGCACGAGAACGAAGAAATGGCAAAAGAATACCCCGATCGCAAGCTCAATTGGAATGAATTGTATTGGATCAACACTAGATTTATCCAACCTTGGAACCACACTCTTTAAATCGAATTCTAATGTTAACACTTAACAGCATTTCAACGTACAACTTTGTAATTTAACGATATTTATTATCTTTTATTTCACATTGTTTGTTTTGGTAATAAATGTATTTCTTGTTAAGTGGAAAACATGACCCAGTGAGTTTATTTCAATGAATTGTATACCATGCAATGTACCCTATACCACATGTCACTCCAATTAAATATAACAGTTTATGTGTCGAAGTTTACAATGTATTCACAGCTATGCTAATTGCAGAGAGGAAGAATTAAAATTATTTATTTTGTTCTTCTGTAAATTTCTTTAATATGCTGGAATTCCAAAAAACGGTCGACCAACTAACATTAGCGAATTTGTTTGTGGTGATGTAATTTAATTTTAGTATTTGAAAATTTGGAATTATGTTTTAAATCTGATTTGTAAACAGAACTTATCTGTTTTCTTGAGTTTTTGTGCAATAGTTTTGAAGCATAACTATTCAGCATATTTATTTTTAATTGATCGATGTTCTAACTAAGTAGGTGAAATTCAAATTTGGAAATAATTTGAGAACTGAATTTTGGTCTATATTTTATGAGCTTGCTATGGTGTTATGGTGAATTTTCCCCATAATATGTGAAGGTTTCGAGCCTGGGCAATGTAATGCTATATATTATTTTTATGAATAATCAATACGTTTTTCGTGTAAATTGGTTTGGGCTTTAAATCAAAAACCGCTATCATTTTATGACGCTAACTTTAATTCTGTATTTTCTAGAGCTCAATTGGTTTAATACCTGTATTTTCTTATGAAACGGTGAAACTATTTCGGCCTCAGTTGTTCGGTTGTTTCCAATAATTATTGTTTGCTGAAAGAGTGCTAGCTTAAACATCCCATTTCTTTTAATGTATGCATGCAAGTACTTGTAATTATAATTCTCATGCAGATCCTATTCTATATTATTTCAGGCAAGTATTGTTTAAATTTGTCCATACGTTTTTCCCAATGAAGTTCATATTCAAAATTAATATGTAAACTATTAGACCAGCTCATTTTATCTGTGTAGGCAGGCATTTAAAAAATAATGATAACTTGTTTATAAATGGCATGGTATAATTTCCCCTTATGATTATCTATACTGGTATTAAACTCATTATTATGGCCTCATATGATAATTAGTGAATGAAATTCTGTTTATTTAACATATGTCTTCGTGCAATGAGAAATAGTGATGTTCATTTTGAATGACGGCTGGAACAAATAGGTTAGATTTAATATTACCAAATCACCAGCAATTTTATCTATTTTACTTTCCGTTTCGGAAGGGAAGGCTTGGCTCTTTGCGGTGATACATTGTTATAATATTACCAAGCCTCTCTATTAAGATGGCTAAATATTTATCATGAACTTTCTTTTATTCGAGTAACATTGACACCATATTTTGTCACCATTGTTACCATGGATTTCAGACCACATTTAACATATATCTCATTCATGAATATTACATTATTATGGTAACTCATTTATAACTGATGTAGCACAACACAAACAGAACATGCTATACAATGGGTGTCGATTCAATGTAGTGCAAGGCAGCTGCCACAAACTAAATATGTTGCACGCGAGGAAATAGCGACAACAACTTTAAACAGGTAGAGGGTATCAGATTGAGAGTTACATATTCATTAATCGTTTACATAATCAAATGACCAGTGCCCTATAGCCTAGCAACTACGTGGCACCGCGTTGACTTCACTTCACTATATATATATATATATATATGCCTCAATGAATTATATATCAAAGTCCACTTCCTCGTTTATTTCGACAATGCAATCTACGTAAGAGGTTCTTTATTGGGTTCTGTTGTCTGTCATGGCCAAGCATATTAGCAACAGACAAAGGACAGTTCATTCTTTTCCACTGACGATATTGTTATGTAGTATCGTGGAATTCAATGTAGTCGGTAAGTGGCTACGAAGTTTAGATTATGCTGTATTATTTTCTTGCAATTCATATTACTTTGTTTATTTATTTATTTCAGTTCTGCTGTAAATTATATCTGATCCAATTAGACGATTTACCCAATGCGTATCATCGTTCAGTTTAATTACTATGTGGTAAACACGGTGAATAGTTTTATATTATTTAGTTTGTTCTCTCCGTCATACCTTGCCCTCTGTTTTTAAAACTAGTCGCCGTCTATTTCCGTCAATTCTTCACATTCTATATTACAGTTAATACAGTTATTACAAGTTTGAAACACGATAAAGAGGACGATGTAAACGGCCGTGCTGCAACATGTTCACTGAAATATAATAATGTATCATGAATGCGCAGGGTTGTAAAATTATAATTGGTCATTTTAACTATTCGTCTCTCCCCCACATCACCTCTGTTTGGACTGTGAACCACCCACGGAATCATTGTGTGACTATGTGTTGGTTTCCTATAGCGCCCGGTGAAACAGTCGCGTGATGCACTATGGGATACCATTATTATCTCTCTAAGCTTGCACTCCATGCGTACTAGCAAGTTGGTCATTATAGCGACACGGAAATGACATGTGTGCCTATATTTTAGGTCATAATGCGATTGTATCACTTCGCCTCGTCGAACACAGTCACACATGGGTACTTTTCAGCTGAACATGGGCATTATATTCAGGGGCGGATACAGGATTTTTTACGGAGGTGTTCCAAACTTTAAAATCGCCAGACTAAGTTAAAGATTTTTTTATATGATCAAAAAACAAATTGAATAAATTATTTCAAGGGGGGGGGGGTTATTGCGGTCCGCCCCCTAGATCAGCCACTGATAGGTCACACATGTGTCGCATCGACAGCTAATCCTAAGCCATTAAACCTAATACAATAACTTATATCGAAATAAGTAGTCGAACTGGCGGTGTTATGACAACCATGGTATGGTAGACAAATGTACACACATGGACAAGCGTCGTAGTGTTGTACTCTGGAATGATGGGGGTTAGGGTGTTTAAAGTGACAACAATTGTATTTTGTTTCAAAAGGAAGATTATACTAGTTAATAGTTGATAAAACTGTTATGCAAATGATACAGCAGTATGAATATATATGCACAGTATGATATTTCGTTATCAAAGCTAATTCAGTTTTATTATATTGTAGCACGGGTTGACATATTTCTTGTTACAGGTTACCGATTTATATTTGTTTTATTCTTTTAAATAAAATGTTACATTCCATTTTTATTTGATTGTGTATGCGTATACAGTAACTATTTGGTAATGTATCGCTTTTTAAAATAACAATTTCGAAATTGGTTCGAGTGTTTTCGGTATTTTTCGTGTGTTTGTAGAGCTCCAAAATGCATCTATAACTTAAAGCGGGGAGTCGTCACCTGCGCATGCGTCAGACGGCCATAGCGTATCATTGTTTACAAACAAGCGCCTACCTATGAGCATCTGCGTTTTTTGCGTATGTTGTTATGGTCGTTTGGGACTCCCATGCGGGCGCAAGTGACGATCCTCTGTTTTATATACTCAAATTTTGTATCGTTATAACTATGTGTACAGCTTTAAACTAAGACGTCCTCAGGCAACCTTGGATAACTTCTTCACGTAGTTGTTTTTATTTATTTTTTTCTCATTTTTGCTGTTGTTTTTTTCTGTCAATGAACGAAATAATTGAGTGTGTACATGGTAGCTGTAAACTTATCCTTCACGTTGATTTTACACATCCCTGCCACATTAACACTATATGGTTTAAAGCGCGGTAGTCGTCGTGCCCCGCATGCGCGAGATATGGGTCTCATATAAACAAAGATGGTGATTTTGACTGTTGCGCACATCAATTAGTACACACTGAGAGCTTACAAAGCTTTAATTATGTTTTTTGGTGATGGTGATGATGGTGGTGGTGATGGTGGTGGTGATGCTGGAAGGTATCGAAAGAGTCGCCGGCGATAATTAGTGCAAGT